TGCATATTATTTTCATGACTGAGGTCATTCTGTTGTTCATTCAACTCTTCAAAGGGTACTCTTTTGCATAAGCGTTAAAATAACTACCACCAGAAAATTAAAATTAGGGAAGAGAAGATTAATTTAGTTTCCATTTATCTTCAGTTTCCAGATATTTTATTATTTAGCCGGTTGTGTTTTCAAATTGGGCAAGCTCAGTTTAGCAGTCTTTAAAACAAAGACCCACTTATTTTGAGGGGACTTTTCTCTTTTAAATGAGAAGTTGGGATGGTTCACACCATATAGATGCCTACCTGGGTATTTCTAGCCTCTAAGAAGGATTTATTGTATTGCAAAAAAAATTAAATGTTTGTGATAACCTAACCAGCCTTATTGAAAGTGCATTTTGTTCTGTACAAATCAGAATGCATATTTCTGGAAACTATTACTGAATATGAGGACATTCAACATTAGCCCCTATTATCAAATAATAAATTATGTTAAGGTACTCACTATCTTGATTTGTTTCTTTTTCCTTTATTTCAAATGTAGCTTTTTTGACTCCCGTCTCAGATATATAAAGGTATTTTAGGAACTGTCTTAATTATTATAAACTGCAAAAACAGATTGGGTGGAAAATTGAAGATAAGGTGCTAGGAAGTTGTCAATATTTAAGTTGGTTTTGCTTTTCAAAGAAACACCTCAAGGAAAAACTAGTATGACAGAAAAACGGGATGGAGGAATTTTCCTAAGGATTGCTTCAGTCCAGAAGCCACAAACTCACACTTTGTAGAAGTGCAAGTTCGATTGTCCTAGGGAGCATGGGGTAGCTTTTAAGGAGTTGTTGATAAAATGCTTTGCAATAGGCTTGGGAGTGCTGTCAACTCCTTAATTCAAGTGTGCAGCCAAGAGTTGAGGTGACCCAGTGGTTAGAGTGCAGTACTGCAGGCTACTCTTGCTGACTGCTGGCTGCCTGCAATTTGGCAGATTGAATCTCACCAGGCTCAAGGTTGACTCAGCCTTCCATCCTTCTGAGGTGGGTAAAATGAGGACCCAGATTGTTGGGGGCAAAATGTTGACTCTGTAAACTGCTTAGAGAGGGCTATAAACGTTATGAAGCGGTATATAAGTTTAAGTGCTATTGCTATTGCATTTCCATGTTGTAGCAGATCCTTTGAGTTTTTCCTGTAGCAGATTTTTTCCCTAATGCTTGATAAAAGATTATGCATAATCAATATGTATCTATTGTGACTCGTGAGGGAGGAGCATCTAGCTGACCTTGACTGATCTAGAAAAGCTGAGAGCTTAGTTCTTGGATGAGAGTCAACAAGGAAATGCAAACAACTTTGGCTGGAGAAAAAAGTGGAGTCTCTTCTTCTCTACCCAGCATAAACCTGTAGTAGGCTATAGCAGAAATGAAAGAGATCTGTGGTCTTTGCCAGCCCCCAAAAGGATAATAAAAGAGGCTTTAATTTAGGAGTACAAAAGTCATCCTTCTCCACTTTCTGTTTTCAAAACAATATTCCAAGAATTTGTTCCACTCATTCATCAAATGTTATTCCATTACAGGTAGTCCTTGACGTACAATTATAATTGAGCCCAAAATTTCTGTTGCTAAGCAAGACAGTTGTTAAATGAGTTTGCCCCATTTTACAATCTTTCTTGCCACAGTTGTTAAGTGAATCACTGCAGTTGTTAAGTTAGTAACACCTTTTTAAGTGTTAAGCTTCCCCATTGTCTTTGCTTGTCAGAAGATTGCAAAAGGGGACACGGCAACCGTCGTAAATATGAGTCAGTTGCCAAGCATCTGAATTTTGATCACGTGACCATGGGGATGCTGTAATGATCCTAAGTATTAAAGATGGTCATAAGTCACTTTTCTCAGTGCCATTGTCATTTTGAACAGTCACTAAACGAATGGTTGTAAGTCGAGGACTACAAGTATAAACAATCCATTGTCAGTTGAATTCCGCACCTTAAGAGAGAAATAGAACGACCACAGGTGTGCAAAATAACTGTGGGTGCGGGAGCATCTTCTGACATCCTGCAGACTTCCCCATTGACTGACTTTATAGGAAGCTGCAGGAAGCATTGAAAATGACAGTCATGTGACAGCAGGCCGACCACAGCGACACAGCATTGGCAACAATTTTTAATTTCAGGAATAATGCCTGCAAAATGCCCCCAGCTTTCCATTTCTTTTTGTACCCATGGCCTGTCATTCCATAAACCACAAGTGCTTTTATGCACTGAATCACTGGGGATTCCCAGCAGGGAAATGATCATTTATTTTAAGGAAGGATATTTGCACCACAGCTTTTAAAACGTTGCTTTAATTGCTGTTCTTTTAGAAGTAGGGTGCAGTGTCTCTTTGTTTTGGCAGTGTCATGCAAACTAGCAAGCGAGTGTGTAACTGGTAGCTAGAAGGAATGTCAGTGGTTCATGTGGTCACATCACAATCTGAAAAATATTACCTTGTAGTCAGTGGTGGGATTCTGCTGGTTCTAGGGGGTTCGGCCGAACCGTTTGTTAAATTGCTGGCTTGCCCCGCCCCTTGCCCCGCCCCTCCGCACCACTATTTATTGCCAATAAATAGTGGTGGGTGAGGGCGGGCGAGCCAGCAATTTAACAAATGGTTCGGTGTTTTTTTGTAATTTTATTGGCCCGCGGAGCTTCAGCATAGGCTAATTAGCCCTTGATTAGTTTGGCTCCCGAGTCTCAGCTGATTTGCTCTCAGCTGTTTTGCTCAGGGCTCTGCTGCTTGCTGGAGAGATTTTTTCCCCCCTAGCTATGCTGAAAAACGAAACTGAAAGTAAAGCAGGCTGTTGGCTTTGCTGTTGCTGCAACGTTGGAAAATTAGGCAGGCAGATTTCTTTTCTTTTTCCTCACCAAAAAAGGTAGGTGCAAACAATGGGAAATTTAGGGGAAAAGAGGAGAGTTCAAGATTTTAGAACACAAAAGAAAAAAAGCTCTATTTAACTAGGGAATTGTAATAATTGAGATACTATTAATTGTATATTGTGTTGAAAGCAGAAATGGTTAAGTTGTGATTTGGAGGAATATATGGGAGAAATTATTTGGTTTATTATTGGTAAATATAATTAATTGATTTGTAAGAAATTGGATTGCATGGAAATAATTGGAATATTCATGTTCATATTGATTAATATACAAAAAAGGTAGTTATATAACTAATTGATTTATATTAAAATGTTGAATTTATATTAGACAACTGTAACATTACATAATTAACCAATGTGAGGATGGATATAAAAATAGATGACAATGGGAAGGGGTATAATATAGAATAGAAGGGAAAAATTGAATTTGATTAAGATTAGAGATTAGGATGAAGGGTAATATTGGTTTTTTACAAAAATAGATGAGGAATAAATATGGCAAAAAGGAAATACAGAAATTGTAAATTTAATTGAAATGATTAAACACTGTTTAAATTTGTGAACAGGCCAAATACTCTGTTCAAAGAAAATACATTGTATGTTGGTATGTGTGTTTCTAATTATTGTTATTTATTCATATTTGTTCTCTTTTATTCTTTAAAGTTTAACAATTCATTCTTTATCTTAATATCTTTATATTTGTTTGGGGTTGGCTTTCTTCCCTTTCATCTTTTTTATTGTACAGCAATCTTTCTCCTCAAAGCTACCACCTCTCTCTTTTCTTTCCTTCTTACTTTCTCTTCCCCCCCTCTTCTTCTCCTCCCTACTTCCTCTTCCTTTCTCCTTCTCCTCCTCTCTTCCTCCCTCTCTTACCCTCACTCCTACTCTAATTTCCCTTCCCTTCCTTCCTCCCTCTCTATTGCTGTATCCTTTTATGCATATGGACTACTCAGAGGGCTGAAAAAGTTATTTTTGACTGGTCCTCACACTTTTGACCAGTCCTCGAACTCACGACTGTCCTCACATTTTACGTTTTTGCCCTATCTTGCCACCATGGTGAAGAGAAGCAGTTGTGAAATGAGTGACACGATTGTTAAGAATGCTACAATGGGCATAAATGATGACCAGTCATAAGTGCGAAGACCGGTCAAAAGTGCGAGGACCAGTCAGAAATCACTTTTTTCAGCCCTCTGGGTAGTCCTTTTGTGCATATGGACTACTCAGAAGGCTGAAAAAGTTATTTTTGACTGGTCCTTGCACTTTTGACCAGTCCTCGAATTTACGACTGTCCTCACATTTTACCTTTTTGCCCTATCTTGTCACCATGATGAAGAGAAGCAGTTGTGAAATGAGTGACACGGTTGTTAAGAAAGCTGCACGGGCATAAATGATGACCAGTCATAAGTGCGAAGACAGGTCAAAGGTGCGAGGACCAGTCAGAAATCACTTTTTTCAGCCCTCTGGGTAGTCCTTTTGTGCATATGGACTACTCAGAGGGCTGAAAAAGTTATTTTTGACTGGTCCTCACACTTTTGACCAATCCTCGAACTTACGACTGTCCTCACATTTTACGTTTTTGCCCTATTTTGTCACCATGATGAAGAGAAGCAATTGTGACATGAGTGACACGGTTGTTAAGAATGCCGCAACGGGCATAAATGTGAGGATGGTCATAAGTGCGAGGACCGGTCAAAAGTGCGAGGACCAATCAGAAATGACTTTTTTCAGCCCTCTGTAGTCCCTATGCAGATAGCCACGCCCACCAGTCATATGACCAGCTAGCCACGCCCACCCAGTCACATGACCATCAAGCCACACCCCCAACTAAGCCACGCCCACAGAACCGGTTGTTTAAAAAATTGAATCCCACCACTGCTTGTAGTCATACATAAAAGGAGAGCAGGAAAAAAAAGAATAATGTTTGTAAAGCACTAAGAAACAAGACTTTGGTTCCTAAAGACATTTTCGAAATATTCTTTCCTGTGGATAATTTTGGTAGACCTTTGAAAAATTGAGTAAGGCTGTAAAATTTATTCACATTTTTAAAAAAAATATGCCATAAATTGACTCTTGATATATATATTGCACCGTATATATGGCTAACTGAAAGGAGAAAGGAAATTAGAATGAACAAAAATTTATTCAGTCATTATTAATATTCATGGAGTTCTATAGAAATCCAAGATTAAAAAATTACTGGAAAACAAGTCTCTCCAGTCATTTTGAATCTGATTAATCTAATTTACATTTCATTGGCTCTTCAGTCATAGACAATTCCATCACATTATATGTTTTGCCTCCTATATTTTAAAACAAGCAATTGGTTCAGTTGGAAATCTTCGTTGCTTCCAGTGGCGAGGGAGAATTGCTGTGCAGAAAACATTTATCCATCTCATGCTTTCTTAAGTTTCAGGGAGGAATAAGAACTAAGCAGATATTCAGAGTCAAATTTTGATTGTGATTTTAAAAAATAATCTTAGGGATTTGACTCTTCTTTATTGGCATCTGTCAAACATTTTGCTTTAGGCAGATATCAACTGTCCAATGCAAAATACACTGCATGCCACTGGTCATAGCATCAGGTAGGTATACTTGAAAGGTGTTGCATCCTTGCTGAAGTTAAGCCATCCTTGTTCCAAAAGTGCTTTTTCAGAAGGCAACTGGACTTTGTTTTTCCGTGAAGACGTTTTGCTTCTCATCCAAGAAGCTTCTTCGGTTCTGTCTGAATTGTGGAAGATGGAAGGATTTACATTCCTTGCAGTCATCTGGTCCTTAGCACTCTTTCTGAGAGTCATTGAGGCCACTTGGAGGCTTATCTGTGCCCTCTGGGCCACCTGAATAGTGGAAATGGGTGTGGAACTTGCTTGGAACTGCTGAAAGGACTGTGTTGTAAACAGGAGATAGCTGATGTTATATTCCTCCCGCCCCTGTTGAGAGAGAGTTGTTTAATTTTAACATACATGGCCTCTTTGACGCTTCTTTCAAACCAGTGGTCCCCTCTGTCCACTATGTGGACTTTGCCATCTTCAAAAGACTGGCCTTTGCCTTTCAATAGACATTAAGCCATCCTTGCATGATTGACCAGCAAGTGAGAAATTATTTGAAGTACCTGGTATAGCATCTCCTGAACTTCCACCATGGAATAAATCCATGTCTATATATCCAATCTTCTGTGAATATTCAGCAAGTAGTAAGCATTCATCAAATGGCTTAGTATTCAGTTTCACACTTTTCAAAAGGAAATTCTAAGAATAAACTGAATATGCAGATTAAGAAAGTCTTTGTTTATGTTTCCTTCATTCTCACAACGTTGTTTCCCTGTTTCTTAAACATTTTCCCTGTGTACTGGTTGCGTTAACAGTTGTTTCTACTTTTGATGTAATCAAAATTCTGGGATTCAATTTTTAGTATATTACTAAAGTTAAAAATCTGTAAAGATTCTCAGTCATCCAGGTCATGGTTGTCCCAAAGGTGCTTTTTCAGGAGGCAACTGGACTTTCTTGTTATTCCTTTTGAAGAAGTTTTGCTTCTCATCCAAGAAGCTTCTTCAGCTCTGATAGGATAGTTCAATTCCCCAGAGCTGAACAAGCTTCTTGGATGAGAAGCAAAACTTCTTCAAAAGGAAAAACAAGGAAGTCCAGTTGCCTCCTGAAAAAGCACCATTGGAATACAATTCATTTGAGAATGATCTCAAGTTCATAATCTCCTCACTTACTGACCATATTTAGGGCTTGTCTTATAAGGGTTTGAGTTACATGATGTACAAATTTTAGCTGCCTGCTGCATTTTTGTAGATATGTTTTTTTTAAATATGTTTGTGTACATCTAGAAATGAGCACAATGTTTCATTCTTTCATTAAATTATTACATTGTGCATGACTGACCTATCCTTGAGGTACTCCTATTGATAACATCCATGGTTCCCAATCATTTCTTCACAACGGATCTCTTTTTGAGGCCACGGGCCATGGCTATCGACCCCCAAAACTTAACTCAAGATTTAAATCATAACATTTTTTCAAGTCTTCATGGACCCCTGTGATGACATTATGGCCCCGCAGGGGTCCGTGGGTCACAGGTTGAGAATCACTGGATTACATCAAGAAGTTTCCAAACATCCTAGACTTGTGTTTTGGTCAACAGTGAAAGCTACTTCACAACCCTCTTTTTAATTGTTTTTCTACTACTTACCTATGGAGTATGGTATTGATTTGCCCAGCAGCATGTCTTTTTCTGTAACTGGTCTGTTCATAGGTTGACTGGCTTGTGAACATGGATTTCCCCTTTCCTTAAGGTAGGTTTGGTAATGAGCTGTCTTAACAGTAAAATGTCTGATGTTTGCATTGGTGAAGTTTCAGAGAACGTCAGTAACACCCAAATTTAGACTCATCCAGCCACAGCACTGAGAGTGTCCTGAAATCAACCTTTGCGTGTCAGTCTGTGCACATCACAAGGTTCTTGTGAGAATTAAATGGGAAGACTAGTAAGTAGGGAAGACCACAGATGCACTTTGACAGAAAACTAGGGTACAGGTATAATAATCGTTCTTGGAAGACGACCAGTTTTGATCAGAAATCACCTGCTAACAATTCAGAATATTGTTCTGCTTCCTTTGCTGTCTTCAGTATCTGTTTTCTCTCATTTGTGTGTGTGTTGTATTCTTTCTCCACAGTGCCCTTAAAGATAGCAGATTTCCCCCAATGACGAGGGATGAACTGCCACGGCTTTTCTGCTCAGTGTCTCTGCTTACTAATTTTGAAGATGTCTGTGATTATTTGGATTGGGAGGTAAGGAACATCTAAGCTTTGCATATTTCATGGAGTGACATTTCCCCATTCTGATTATTGAACGGCCTAGAAATTTGTCTGGAACTTGTTTGCAATTACGGTCTGTTTTGTACTGCAAGAGTATGAAAAAGCAAGGAGGTGACTCATATGCTCTCCTTCATCCAGTGAAAATGATCTCCAGAAGAACCAGACCATTAATGTCCAACCCTGAATTCTACCCCTCTTCATCCTGTGAACGTGTGTTCACATTTTGATTTTCCTGTTGGCTGCCCTAATTTATTACTTCATTTGTTGAAGTTACTGTCCCAATGAAAAAGATGAATTTTCAATTCAGGTTCATCGTGTTAGAGTGCCAGAAGGAGGGGACATGAAATGGAACATTTATTATGTATTGCAAACAAAACTTTAGGCTTAAAAAAAAAGGAACATAAAGATTCTAGCTCAGCCTTCTCACATATGTGCTATTTTATGAAATATGGGATAATTTTTTCCCAATGAGAAATGGTCCCAATGAGAAATGGTGAACACAGGCTTAACATTTCTCTGAAAATAAAGCTTTAAAATAAACGAGTGAAACCAAAAAGAACCATGTAGCAATCTCTTTATCCCTTCCATTTTCAACTCTGTTTGGAGCACAGCAGCTCCCACACATGCATTTATTATTAAAAACCTTACTTGATGCTTTACAAATTTAAAATATTTGCAGAGCAAGAGGAATTCCCAAAAACTCTCCTTGCCAACAAATAGTTTGCAATGGGCATCTTAGTAATTTCAACAATAACGGGCACTTGACCATCCCAGCATGCCACTCAAATTCCAACATTCTACCTTGATCTCCATCACATAAGTTCTAAAGCAGAACTATGGAGGTTTGTGTATGTGGACATACACTGCTTTCAGAACAGACATGTCTATAGCGATCTGTGTTCATTTTTAAGTTCATAAAAGCCTCCGAGAAGGTCAGTTGAGCAAGAGTAGTTAGAATTGTAGAAGATGAGAGAAGTGTAGCCTTCACAAATCATTCTAAATGGCATGAACACAGCTAGTTCCCCGAATCTCCTCCATATCAAGTGTCCTCAACCAGGTCCTCTCAAGATTTGCTGGAATTGGCAAAAAAGTTTTGTCCCATCCAGTATCCTCTAGAAATTTGTTTTGGGCTAAAACTCAAAGATTATTTGGCCACCCTAGCCTGCCTTACACAACAGGGTTGGAACAACATCTGTCATAGTTCCCAGATCGCACAACCATGTTGATTAGGTGGTCTAGAGTTCACCCTTTTAGCATCTTGAGGTTGAGAGTGGGAACATTAGGACACTATAAGTATTAGATATTTGTTTGTTTGTTTGCTTAAGAGAGACAGAGACTGAAACATTGGACTGTGCCCACAATAGAAATAGGATCTCTCTCCTTTTTCCTCTTTTTAAACTGCTGGAGTAAAAATGTACTGCGGGATTTTTTTTTTCCAGAGCTGGCAAATAATCACCCTCATAGCATTTTGCATGCAACTCTGAATTGGCTGCTCAGACTGAATAACTCCTCACTCGTGAATTGCCATTTGCTTGGTTTCTGAATCAGAATACATCTAAAGTTTTAGAGATTTATTTTAAATCCCAGTCTGGTTACAGAAAAGGCTAAGGGTCTCCTCTTGGTGTTAGCTATGTCCCCTAATATTTGATAGTTATTGCATTGTGAATGATACAAAGCAACATGCCATGAAGAGTATTGCCTTTGCAAAAATGCATGCCTGAGGTTTCCAAATACTCACAATGTGGCTTCAGGTCCGTGCACCATAGCTATTTTCTCCTGGGATGTAGGGTTTAAATAAATACAAGAGTATAAATTTAAGTCCAGCTCTTTGTGTGCAAAATCTGGGACTTCTCCATTCCTTTGCCAACTGTCTATATGATGTATAACTCAGCAGCTGAAGATTTCCTGCACACAGCAAAGGCCCATAGGTATTTATAGATGGCTGTGTAACAGACCTAGAAAGGAGTAGCAACCTTTTTATATCTTTACAATTCTAAGGATAGTTGGCTAAACTGTTTTTTGTTTTGTTTTGTTTAGAGCGCTTGCTTTTTGGGGAACATGTTTCTGTGGATTAAATCCTTGATAGCCTCAATAAAGAGAGGGGAGGAGAGGATTGAATTGAACATCCTATTGGGAACCTTGGAGTAAAACTACACGTTACTTCCAAATGCAAAAGAATAACGGACTCTCCTTTAGCATCCACAGAAAATACGATTTCTGCCCTACAAGCTTATTTCCCATTTTGAAACCTAGATATCGGGGTGGGTGGAAACAAAACGAAAGAATACTTTCTAGGGAGAAAGGGGTACTAATGGGCGCTGAGTGGTATTTGGGCATTGAGGTTGGGAACATGACAACAACTTCATTTGGTGTAGTTTTGTTGGATTTTTTAAAAAATGGAAAAACCAGATCTTGCAGGTTCACCATTGGTAGAATAATCATGTCATTTTTTCCTTGCATTTTGTTGATTAGAAATAAAAGCTAGGTAACAACAGCAGAGAAGCTGTCTTCACCCAGCAGTTCCAATTAAGATACCACCTTTGCTTAATTTTGCATTCCTTCACACTGCAACGGTGGCAAGAAAATAATGCAGATTTTAGAAGACTTTTTTTTTTTTTTTTTTTGAGGTCCTTGATGTTCTCTGACCATGATTGTTTGGCGCCGATAATATTACATAGTTGGGCAAGGAAAAATCTGCAAGAAAACCACCCAGCTCAGAGAGCACCAAAGACCCCACAATTCAACTCTGAGCTCCAAATATTCTCTTCTACTGGGACCATTGTTTCTAGTAGTTAAAGCTGGGGAGCTGAGAGAAGAACAAAGATGAGTTGTTGTTTTCTCACTGTCCAAGGGGATACCTCATTTTCAAAGATTTGGGTTTTCTAAATGGGAATTTGGGGTTTCAGTTTGACCTAGAAGGGTATTTTTAAAAAATATTTCCCATTACCTTTATTTCATGGCTCCATAGATAAGGAGACAGGAGAGTAGGATTTTATTGAAATGTTGGATCCTTAAAAGAATAATGCGTCACTGTATTTGGCCCTTACAGTGAGACCGCTTATATCATCCGTGTTTCTTTTAAGGGGGACTGCAGTTATGCAATGTGAATGGCAAAAAGTCATTTCAAGATGGCTAGAATATGACCTAAAGAGAGAATGTGGTTCTTCCACCTGGTATAACTGCTCATTTCCAGATCATCCCGAAAGGCCATCCACCCGGTTAGGAGACCTTACTTCTGTAGGTATGCTATTGATGATCTTGTGGGAGCTAATCCAGCAATTTGCTAACAAATGCCAAACGTTTTCCAAATTCCAATGTTCTCCAGAGACCACCGTGCTCCTACGGTTGGTTGGCCTGATCTTGCTGCGGGAGGAGGGGATATCAACGGTCTTCTGCTCAAGGGTCTCTCAGCTAGCTCCATGTGGTCTTTTCTCCCAAGAGAAGGAATTTCGAAGAGAGGGATGAGTGAATTGGCTGCCATTAGCTTCCACATGGTTTTTCAAATTGCTGCCATTTTTCACTTGTTGTTTAAGTATACTTTGCACGTTTCTCTAGCCACTTGCCCCAAGGGTCACCTGGGATCGTAGAGTGCAAATAAAGGCCTTCCCTTTTGTCCATTCATCCTTCCATAGCATGGCTATGTGTGACTTGCTCTGCTCATCAGCTCACGCTACCTGTGGCTTTTTTATAAGGACGGGGGCACAAGGCTCACACAAGGCTCTAGCAAAAGGTCCCCTCCCCAAGACTTGTCCCACAAACTTTGTTGGGGTGTAACTAGAGGAGGCTCATGGCAGATGGCAGGGGTGAAAGTTGCAGTGCTCCATAGAGGACATAATTTTGACCTAGCCTCTGTATCTATCTGTATCACCACTGTTTGGTGGCCGTTGCATTGCACACATTTTCCATGTAGAAGAAGTCCCTGAGTTGAGTTACCAGAGCGACTTACATCTCTAAACACATTTGGAATCTTGGAAAACGACCGACAGTCTGATCACCCACGGTTGATGTTTAGACAAAATCAACCTACTACAGTATTTGCTTTCATTCTGTAGATCATTTTTCAGCTACTGCAACTATATATTTTTGAATCAGCCGCTATTTTTTTCCAGATGACTTTGTCTCAGAGAAGTGAACTGTTTTCTGTAGAACCAAATGTGACCTACATTCCCTGCCATAGGGAATGGCATCCATCATGGACCCCTCTCTAACCTCTCTAACCTTCTTCCTTTTCCTGAGGTCACAAAATGTCAATTTTCTCCTCTGTCATTTTTCTGGATTAAAAAGTAGACCTTTTTGTCACAGGCTCTGAAGCTCTCTCTTCTCAAGCATATGAAATGTATGTGTGCATGCATGAAAGATCAAAGAGAATTACTCTTTTCTTCCTTGCATTAATAACTTGACATGTTTGGCTTAGCTGGATAGTACATACATGGATCCAACAACTCTCTGACTTTCTTCCTAATTAATTTTGCTCTGGCTGATGAAGTTGCTAGGATAAACCACAAAACATCTCAAGATTAACAATGTTTGGTCCAGTTGCCATGATTCAACCTTTAAACACCTTGGCCTGGATGATTGAGGTTTCATTGATATACATGGATTAGATTGTTGCTTGAATGCTTGGACGTATGGGGTGACAATCTAAACTAACAGAATGGAGACTTCTATTTATGTGAATTTTAGGAATGCCCCCCCCCCCCGGCCTAAAATACCAAACAGGTAGTCCTCGACTTACGACCATTTGTTCATTTGCCATCTGAAGTTATAAGGGCACTGAAAAAAGTGACTTCACAACTGGTCCCCAAACTTAGAATTGTTGCAGCGTCCTGATAGCTACATGATCAGAATTTGGGCACTGGGCGGCCGGAATTTAATTACAATAGCCGCAGCATTCCAAGGTCACATGATCATCATTTGCAGCTGGCATCCAACGAGCAAAGTCAAAGAGGGAAGGCAGATTCACTTAATGACCAAGGCAAAAAAGGTCATAAAATTGGGTGTGATTCACGTAATGACTGCCTCACTCAGGGATGGAAGTTCCAGTCCCAATTGTGGTCGTAAGCCGAGAACTTCCCATGTTGTAAATAATTTGGTTCTGAAAATGAGAGGTGGGTGGTGTGAGTAAAAGCACCCAGCTAGAAACCAGGAGACTGGGAGATCAAGTCCTGTCTTAATTATTAAGTCAACCGTGTGACCTTGGCTCACAGTTTTCATTCTCAGTTCAAGGAAGAAGACGGTGGCAAACCACTTCTGAAAATGTGGCCAGGCAATTGCGGGAGTCAAGATTGTCTGTGGGATCCTTGGTGCTTTCTGATGGGGTTTTTTAAAACAGACATTTCATTAGCCTACTAGGTAACATCCTTGATGATGATGCCTTGAAGACATCATCTAGTTGGGTGATGAAACGTCTGCAAAGAAAACCACCAAGCTTAGAGAGCACCAAGGACTCCACAGTTCAGCTCTGACCTACAAATAGAGCTAAAACATGAAGAATAGTTGCAGGAATTGGGTATGTCTAGTCTAGTTAATAGAAGAACTAGGGGTGACATGACAGCAGTCTTCCAGTATTTGAGGGGCTGCCACAAAGAAGAGGGGGTCAAACTATTGTCCAAAGCACCTCAAGGCAGGACAAGAAGCAAGGGATGGAAAATAATCAAGGAGACATGCAACCTAGAACTAAGGAGAAATTTGCTAATGGAGAGAACAATCAACCAGTGGAATGCCTTGCTTTCAAAAGTTGTGGGTGCCCCATCATTGGAGGCTTTCAAGAAGAGACTGGACAATCATGTCTGAAATAGTAGAGATTCTTGTTGTGGTCCATCAGCATCCTGCGGAGCTGGCAACAGAGTCGGACAGTGAGGAGGCTGGGGAGGATCATGGGCCAGTCCTGGAGTCCGGGGAAGGCCCGGACGAGGGCTCTGCGTTGGAGGCAGAGATGGGGCCAGGGCCATCTGGGAGTGGTACGCGGACTCCGGAGCCTCCAGAGCCGGACAGCAGAGAGGCAGAGGAACAGGAGGAGCCTGTTCCTAGTGCACACATGCGCAGAGCTGTCAGAAGGCAAGAGCAGCTAAAGCAAAAGGGACGATTTGGGAGTAAAGCCAGGAGATGATTGGCCCCGCCCATAAGGCTTAAAAGAGCAGCAAAGGCTCTTGGGCTCTTTGTAGGAAAGCAATGTTGCTAAATCTGTTTCCAGTCGGCGTCTCTTGTTTCTGAACTTTGTGGCACCTTTGGCAGGGTGCCAAAGAAGATAAAGGTTTGTGATAAGCCTGAAGGACTTTTTCTGAAGGACTTGTTTTGGAATTAATTTTGACTAAGCTGGGAATGAAGTAATTCTCAGCTGTTATAATAAAATAGTTTTGATTGGGACTTGTGTCTTGTACTGACTAAGTGAGCCTAGGTCCCAACAATTCTCCTGCTTGAGCAGGGAGTTGGATTAGATGACTTCCCAGGTCTCTTCCAACTCTGTTATTCTATGTTCTGTGTTCTAAATACTCTCTTCTTTTGGTATCTAGATTGACTGGAAGGCACACACACTCAAAGTTAAAAAATTGAGAAAAGGATTCTCTTGAATGTTCACTTCTCGCCCTCCCGGATGAGCTCCCTGGTGTTTTCCATTTAAGAACCACAAACATATTCTCTCATCACAAACAGCATGGATAATTGGCTGGAGAGCTTGGAGGTGTTGACTAGTTAGTGTGTAGAAAATTACATTTTATTGGGAAGCTTAAAGAATCATTGGAATTAATCAGTGGTGTCAGACCTTTTAAGCACATATGACTAAAGCAAATCATGCTTGACAGCTTTGGGCAAACACTTCTTTGAACATGATTTATGTGGGGT